ATCTCTCCAATCCTAACCAGGGTGCCATGAACCACCTAGAGGATTTGTGTGGGTTGTAAGATGGAGACAGGACACAGACAGAGACACACAGTCTCCTCCACCCCAAATACTGGTTAGCCCTACATCCTGAAGAAGATTCAGTTGTTCAACTGAATCCCCACACATGCAGTAGCACACCATCACACCCAGGTCAGACACATAAAAACACACCCCTGGGGTGTTTGAGACACCCCTGGACACAGGGCGATTACAGATGCACAAACACACCTAGCATTTTACACTCTCACCCACGGTGATTAAGGCCACACAAACATTCCCATGACACAGACACAAATACATCACACACACACAAAAAAAGGTAAAACAGCTAGTATTACAGACACACACCTCCAACAGCATGCAGGCACACACCCAGTGTTGCAGACAAGCTGCCAGACACACAGACACACAGAGATGATTCTCAAAGAGAGACTAGACGGAAAGAGAAAGAAAATCCTGAATTTTCAACAAGGCGTGAAATAGTCCTGCCCGCCTGAAGCTACTGCAGGGGGGAGAGAGCCCAGGCAGCAAGCGAGCGAGCGATTGAGCTAGACGCTGAAGGAGAGGCTGAGAGAGAGGAGCAGAGAGCAGCAAAGCCAGCGGAGAAGGAGAGCTGTCCGTCTGGTGACCTCCCTGCAGCCCAGCCCCCACGCACCGGGAGGCACACCACTCTGAGCACCCAGGCCGGCTCACAGAGAGCCACACCAGAGAAGGCACCCTTGGGCAGACTCACAAAGAGACACTTGGGGATACACCACAGGCAGACTCGTGCAAACCAGGGGACTTACAGAGACACACTGAAGGAGACCCACTGATTGCACGGAAACACATCCAGGCAGACTCACGAGAGAATCACAGGCAGGCTCACACCGACACACACACACACACACACACACACACACACACACACGCACGCACAGCGGATTCACATGGACACACAAGCTTTGGCAGATACACAACCGTCATTCACACTCCCGGGTGCTTTGAAGTCCAGATTTTTGCCCCAGAAAGAAGCTGCCTTTGGGTGCGTTGGGGACCAAGGCGACCCCCCAAGCCCTGGAATTTTCCCAGACCTGGTGCGTGGGGCTGAAGGGTAAGAAGAACAGGGGCACTAGGACAAATCGTTCCTGGCACCTCCCTCCAGCCGATTGTCCGGCCCTACCACTACCACGCCCAACCTTTGGCTTGCCTGGACATGGGGGGCCACTTCTGCGCCCCCGTCCCCAAGTTTGTGGGCAAAGTTTGTCATGAACTTTGCTGCCTCCCCCGACTGCGCAGCCACGCGTGTCCCCCAACTCTTCCAGCGCGCACGAGGGCCGCGCGTCTGCGGGTCTGTCTGCCCGTGGGTTGGAGGGTCCAGCTTTGCGCAGGCAGCCGCTGGATACTCACCGCGCCCTCGGGCCACAGGAGCCCTGCGCCGCGCCCTTCGACCGCCCCAGGCAGAGAGCGAGGCAAGCAGCACCGCGCTAGCACCGCTGCCGGATCCCACCGCCGAACCCCGCGCCGCGCCGACTGGAGCCGCCGCCTCCGCTGCCGCCGCCGCCCGCTCTGCACCGGCTCCTCGGCGCTCGGCGGCTTTAACCCCCCCATCCTCCTCCCTCCCTGCTCCCTCCCTCCTTCCCTCGCCCATGTGACCGCGGGCGCCCGCTCGGCCGCGCGCACCCTCGGTCCCCTCCCCCTCTCTCCTTGTCTCCCCGAGCCTCCGCGGCCGCGCGCCACGACCCCCTCCCCGTCACGGCCCCTGCGCGCCCCCGCTTTGGCACACTCCCGCGCCTGGCACGCGCGGCCCGGCGCAGGCCTGCAAGCCCCCACTCCCACTGGCCCAGTGCAGGCACGCGCCCTCCCCCCACCGCTGGCACACTGGCCCGCACTGGCACGCGTGGCCCCCTCACATTTGCCCTTTCTGTGGCGCGCCCTCCAGACGGCTGTGGCCTTCGTGCTTAACGCATTGCCCAGGCCGCAGGGGTCACAAACGTGCACGCACCGAGACACGCACACCCATTCTGTCTGCTTTCCTAGGGCAGCTGGGCGCGCACCTACCACCCCCAGGATTGCTCATTCACGCTCACTCTCTTGCCCAGCCTTGGCCAAGTCTCTCCTGCGCACACTCCCGTGCGTTCAGGCCCTAAGTGTCGCGCACAAACACACTGGTACAACCCCGGGCTAACTCTGGGGTCCTCTTTCCAGCATCACCGTAAGAGGAGTGCAAGGCAGCGCCCCCAACCCCCATTTTGGGTAGCAGCAGCCGACCAGTTCGCTCCTCCTCAATTTCTACTGCCCCCAGAAATGATTCCCCTTCTAGTCACACACAGGCAAACCCCTTGCGCAGCGGAGAAGCAAACTGTGTGGTTCCAGGACCCCGTGGGCCAGAATGGGAGCACAGCCTTTCCTCTACTGCAGTAGGTCCCAGTGATACCACCAGTGCTAGTCCTCCTTCTTCTGTCCCCAGGGACACTTGGCCTGGGAGAAGCCCGGTAGATAAAGCTGAGGAGGCTGTGTCCTTAACCTCTGGTGGGCCAATTCCAGAGCAGGAGGCGCGGCCCACTAGGAGCTGCCAGAGGTTCATTTGCTCCTCACAGCCTGGGCCTCTAAGGGGCCAGTGTGCTCACTTCACTAGGGTGCCCCATTCTGCAATAGGGTAGATTAAGGCTAGACAAACCAATCAATTATTGAGGCCATGTGTGAGCACCACAGAGGGTGGGATACCAGAGGTTCACCTCCCTCTACCCCTTGAATTTTTCACCTGGTCATTGACCCAAAATATCTGGGCCTGGCCCTCTGCTGAGCTGCTCAACACTGGGGGTAAGGAGAGGGAAATATCTTGCTGTTTCCTCACACCCATCACCTGCAGGTTGCCTACAGGCCCTTTCCCAACCAATGCCTCAGGGACTTCATTGTGAGGAGAAACCTTCCCGCCACTGCCAGGGCTTTTCACTGTAACTTTCATAGCTGCAGATTAACCACCCTTGTCACCCAGACAGCTCAGAGAGGGCTCCTTATGGCTAAAGGACACACAGGAAAATAGCTCACTTGAGGTCAATTTGCACCCACCCACTGTACATGTCCTTTACTCTGCCTTTTTGGAGCCTTCAGCCTCCAGGTTCCCAAGCCAAGGCGTGGAATGGATGCTGGGCGCCAGTGAGGAGCTCCCCTAACGCGATAATAAGGTGTGTGTGTGTGTGTGTGTGCAAGAACTGCCCCCGCACCCTGTGCTGAAGGTAGGCCTGGGCCAGGTCTGCAGGAGCTGATGGGCCTAGGCACTCATACTAGGTGGGTAGGAGTCCGATCAAGAGCAAGATCCACGGGTCACTCGTGGGCCGATTGACTTCTGGACCGCGCTGCCTGCTTCTGCAGATTAGAAGCCCTCAGGAATTCAGCCCGGACCTAGGTTCCTTTCGCCACCAGGGAGGCGGAGACTGCTGTTGTCAGTGCCGAAGACGCCAGGTACAGGGAAAGGTCTCCACCGAACTCGCACAGTCTGTGAACCCGACGTGTCGGTGTCGGGCAGGATGGGAGAAGAGGAGTGGCGCACAGCGGCCCCTGTCCCGGGGTCTGTCGGTCAAGCAGCTGCTTCTGGCGCCGTAGCCAGCGCGTTTCCCCGGGGCCGCAGCGACACCTGGCGGGCAGTGTGAGACATGCATGCCCCTCACGTGGGCTCCAGCTAGGCGCAAAGGTCTGGGTAACTCACCCAATAACCGGGATGTCAGCTGGCTCAGAAACGGCTTTTCTCCTACCCGGCCTGGAAGGAAACTTTCTGCGTTGCCATCTCCAACGCTCTGCTTGCCTCCTAGCTGCTGAGTTTTCTAAGCCTCGGTGTTCACCTTTCTTGAGTTTCCTCACCGCCGGACTTCAAAACCCTGCAGGCTCCAGCCACATCAGAACTCCAGCTTTCTTTGACCCTCTGGTCTCTGGCCTTTTCGCCTCTGCAGTAATCCCCTTCTCCTAGCGTGGAGCTCCTGTCCTTAAGCCAACTCTCTCCCCACTCTCTCCCGACCCATCTCAGGGAGTGCATTCTCTGCTTCCCCCATCTTCACCAGTCTGACTCCCTGAGGGTTTGGCAGGAAGTTACGCCCTCAGGCTAGAGCCCTCATACCCTGCAAATAATGGGGATCCCAGATTCAGTAAGCTTCTAAGAAACGCGAAAGTTTTCTTTGACTTTGGGTTCCTAGAGTTTTATAGCCACTAAGGAAAGAAGCTCCATGGCTGGGGCTTTTGACTTCACCTTCACCCTAGCAAGTGACCAAAAGTTAGACCACACACCACCCCAGGAGTCAGCTGTGCCAAATCAGGCCTTTGGGGGACAAAGACCCTCTCTACTGATCTGTCTCTGTGGAAAGGAAGTCTACATGTCAACTCTATGCCCCCTTTCCAGGAAATCCGACCCGTTTCTAATGTGCTATGCCATCAGAGGTGTCACCACAGAGCACATCTCTGGCTGTGCAAAGTGCCACTCTTAACACTCAGGCTCACAAGGCCACATAAAGGCACACACCCAGCCTCTAAGAGAGTGTGTATGTTCCCTCTCACTGTGGCACGCTGGGACTCAGGATCCTGGTTTGAGCTAGAAGTTAAAGGATGAGACTGAGCCACAGAATCATGCGTGCCATGCACATACACACAGTTCACACACAGCCATCCACGTCCCCTGTGTGTCACACAGGCACACACGATCTCAATCACACTGGGGTTTGGCGGGTCGGGGCGGGCTGGGGAGGCAGTTACGTAAACGCCCTCACAGCCCCTCCTTGTTCCCCCTTACCCCCCTCCCCTGCTTCCTCACGCAGTGCCAGCGCCCGGGGCGGCTTGGCCGGGGCCCGGGAACAGCTCGGCCTCGCGGAGGCTCCAGGCGCCGAGAAACCCGATCCCGACCCAGCCCCGGGCCGAGCCAGGGATCGGGGCCCAGAGCACCCCCCACACACAGCAGGCTCGCCATCCAGCCCAGCTCCCCAGGGACGACTTACCCTCTCCATCCTGAGACAGCTCCCAGCTCCATCCCAGGGCAGCACCTGGGGTCCACTCACAGTATCCCCGCTCTGGACTTCGCCCTGGAATCTCACTCATGGCTGTGCGCTGCCTCTGTGTGCCCTGATTGGCCCAACCTCTGGCACCAGAAAAGGGCAAAGGATCCTAAAAATGGAGAAGCGGGGAAGGCTGAAGCCATGAGGACAATATTTAAGCTGAAATTGCTCCTAGTTGCCTGGAGTGATCTCTTCCCTTTCCACAAGAGACTTCTAAGTCCTCCCTGATGGAGGAGCTTGCACTGCTGGTCCAGCCCCCCTCAGATTTCTGCCCACCTGTCCACCAATTCCAGCATATGCTATCAGAATTCTAAATTAATCAGATAGGCCTAAAACCTACCCACCTCTCTTTGATGACCTTTCTTCCGCCTCAGTGGGAAGTTCCAACCCCAGTCTAATCCCAGCTCCTCCTGTTTCGCTAAAAAGGAATTCTGAGGGCAACCTGAAGCATTGGGAATCAGATCCCTGGAAGGAGGAAGGATTATGGCTCAGGAAACCCCTGGAAGTCAGGAATCTGAAAGGAGGGGGAGAAAGTCTCTTATCACCCTCCTCCACTAACCCTCACCCCAATTTGCAGTTTAGACTCCACTTTTCACAATAGCTTTTGAGTGTCCGCTTGTGCTGCCCAGACCCAACAGAAAGGGAATTTCCCCTGTGTTCTCTGTTAATAAACAAAATATTTCTTGTTGAAATTCCTCCTCTGCCCATAGTGCAGTATCTCCAGCCCCCCTCCTCCCACTGGTCTGACCATGCAGGAGGACCCCCAGGAGGGAGTATCAGAGTAGGGGAAGCCCTTCAGGGAAGCATATTTTACACTGGGGGCCATCTTTTTAAATAAATAGAGTGGCTCCCCCCCCCCCTTTTGGCTAAAATTATCCAGTCTTGTGGCAGCTTCCCAGAAAGGGCGGCGGGAGGGCAGCCGGAGCTGTCCCAAGGCCCAGGACATGGCCCCCCTCCCCTGGACGAGAAGCCTTTCCCGAGTTGTTTTCCTGGTCTCTTCCTCTTGGATGTTTTCTTGATTATTAATCACATTTTCCATCTGCAAGCTCAGTCCAGACCCCCTCCTCCTGGGGTCAGGGCTGGACAGAAGGAGGAGCGGGCTCCAGGAAAAGAGTTGGGGACAAAATGGGCAGTGACCCTTCGGCTCTGGCTGACTTGAAAGAGGCTGGGTGTGGTACATCACAGATCATATCCTTGCTATGTTGGCACATAAAAAGTGCCATTCTTAAGCAATACAAGGAGAGTAAATGAATGAACAGGTATCTAGCTCATAGCACCCAGCTGGCACCCAGCTGGAGCTGGCCCTCTTGTGCTCCACACAGGCAAATGTCCCAGAGCAGTCACTGCCCAGAGCCACTCCGCAAGTTAGTGCTAGAGCCAGAGCAGTGCCTCTGGAAAGTGGATGGCTCCTCCTATACACCAGGCAAAAAGCAGCAATAAATATATATTGAGAACCTTTTATACACCAGGCATTGATCAAAGTACAGCAGTGAATGGGGCAAACATCTTGGCTCTCTGTAACAAACAGCACTGCTAGATTCCATATACTGTGCGCCATCAGTCAGTACCACCACTTCGGAGCGCTTTTTGGTGGGACCTACCAAGCTCAACATGTGTGCATTCTAGAACAGAGCAATTCCCTTCTAGATACGTTCCCCCAAACTGATAAGACATACTCATCAGGAATATGATGAGTATATGATCAGTTCATAGCAGTTTTATTCATAATAGCTACCCAGTGCAAACAACCCAGATAGCGACACTGTGATACAGCCATGGAAAAGAACCAGCTATGGCTACACACAGCAACACACCTGAATCTCACAGACAAGATGTGGAGCAAAGAGGGGAAAGCTTGACACAAAAAACATACTAAATGATTTTTTTTTCTATAAAGCTCAAAAATAGGCACAACTAACTGGGTGTGGTGGCGCAGGCCTATACTCCCAGCACATGGGAGGTTTGCTACTAGCTCATAGCCAGTCTGAACTAACAGCAAGACCCTGTCTCAAACAGCAAAACAAAATGGAAGAAAGAAAAGAAGGGATATCCAAAAGTTGACCTGTACCTTTAAGGTTTGTGCTTATTGCCTCAAAAAGGTTTTAAAATCCCCTACCCTCACATGGCTCACATTCTAGTCAAAAAGAACAGGTACTAAAAATACCTAGATGCCACGTACCATGGTGCATACGTATAATTCCAGCTACTCGGGAGGCAAGGCAAGAGGATCATGAGTTCATGGTGAGATGCTGCCCCTACCCCACCTCCCCAAGCTAGATAAGGATATAGTTTGCTCATGCAGCATTCTGTCTAACTTCTTAGCCCCTCAGCTGAGGGCCTAGCCTAAGTGGCACCTGAGAGAGGCCTACTCTAAGCCCCTTGGTCTTCTGTCATAGTGCCACACTGTTGTGCCTTGGAGGGGCCAATGTGAGGTCCAGTTACCTAGTTAGCTGTGTGGGGCCTGCAAGTTCCCTGAGGGCAGCTCTGTGGCCTCGAACTCCTGGTGCCTACAGCTGGGTCTGGCATAGGGCAGGTGTTAGAAAACACTTGAAAGCGATTAAATAATCACTGAATGAATGATGCAAGCAAGGGAGTAGGAGGATCTTGACCTATGCATCCCGGGGCACAAGGCAGGGAGCCCAGCTGAACGGGTTGCACCTTGCACCGTTTATGGACCAGAGAGGGATTTAGTACCAGTGAGAGAGTAAGCTGAGGCCCAGCAGGCAGGCTGAGACAGTCTGAGCCGCTGAGACCACATCCTAAAATGCCTTTGGTGCCAAAGGCACAGAGGCCTGGAAGGACATAAAATAGGTGAGGAATGGAAGCACACTTGAGACTTAGAGAGATCACTGAAGCTGCTGGGAGGAGGATCAGCCCTCTAGCCTGACCTGGGACAAAGGCCACAGGGTTGGAAAGGACAGGACCTTGAGGGAGAAGGGACACTCAGCTTCATCTTTTCCATCTGCTTCCATGTGCCCTCGTGAACCCTCATGTCACACACACTTGAGAACACAACCCTGCACACTTAGTCCTGTGTCTGCTCTCCCAGACCCTCCTCATGGGTAATCCCAAGGTTGGGAAAGGAACAGGGCATGTGAGGGAACTTAGAATCAGGGAACTCCATCTCCTTGAAAGCAAGAACAGGGACACAGACCTGCAAAATCACAGAAGTGATTTTTCATTTTGCAAAAATTGGTATGAAACCAATTCCCTGCTCAGAAACACATAACCCCGCCTTGCCTCTCCGTCCCAAGGGGCTCTGGTCCCCTCTCTCATTTGTCACAGTGAAGCCAAGTATCCTCAGAGGATTGCTCCCACCCAGTGCCAGTGCGGTCTGACCTTGATCCCTGCTGCTGTCAGCTGCCTCCCTTAGAACTGGGTTTTTCAGGAAGGATGGAGGGCAAGTTACCTCCAAGATCAGTTCTCCCCCTTTACCATCAGGGCTCCATTCCTGGCTAGCCTGTTGATTCGCTGGGGCAGGGAAGAGAGAATGAAAGGCCTCAACTTGCCCCCAGAAACTCAACTCTGACGCTTGAGAGGACAGAGAAAATTCAGAAATGCCAGAGATATCCAGTCCCAAGGAAACAGCGGCAGAAGGGGAATCCAAGAGAGAAAATTGAATTAAATTCAGTTCAACAGACATTTATTAGTACCTACTGTGTGCCAGGCCCAGAGGGAACACTGTGTACAAAAGCACAGGCTTCTGGCATGAGGATCTGGGTAATGATGGTGTCATTCAGAGCTGGGAGAGAGGAGGGCCTTGATGTGTCCAGCTGAGGGTTGGTAGAATGATGGTTAGCCAGGGCACGGATGGGAATGGCCCAGAAGTCCCTAAACTAAGCAAGGGCTGGCTAGAGGTGTACGGTTCCTGATCAACAGTTTCCGGCACCCCTTGCACCCAACAAATGTGGAGGCCAGGGCATTCCTGAAAGTCCCAGGCTAACCTGGGCACTAAGGTGACGATGGGGAATGGTGAGAGTAGGAGAGAGAGATCACAACAAAGGGAAGGAGGAGAGGACGAAGGCTGAAACCCTAGGATCCATGATTAAAAGACAGAGAGGGAAGATGAGAGGCTCCCACAAGAAAGGAAGGTGCAGTGGGCCCAGAGGAAGGGAATCAGGAATCAGCATTGTCAGGAGACTAAAATGGAGGCTGGTGCTTTAGCAGTCAGAATTGGGGCAGAGCCAGTGGGACAGGCTGGGGATACGGAGCTGGCCACTGTAAACCCTGCCATAGGAGTCTGTGAGCAGAGTGTGGACCCTTCCTTCTCCACACTCCCTGCTGTGCCTGGAGCCTTGCTTAGTCTGGAGCCTCTCGGAGCCAGGCACAGGGACAGAAGAGAGGCCCCTTGCCTTCCATGCCTGAGCGCCTGGTGTTTGGACTTCCCAGGAGGCTCCTGAGCCTCCCCCAAGCTCAGGAGCATGCAGTGGTCAGAGAACCCTGGGGACCCTGGGAGTAATTGAAACCAGGACTGAGACATTAGAAACCATAACGCCAACTCCCTGGCTCCCCCAGGATAGCTCCTGGTTTTCTTCTCACCCCAATCCTCCCTGCTGCTGACAGCTTGGCTCTCCCAGGCCCCCACCAGCTGGGCCGTTGACCTCCTTCCCAAACCAACTAGAAGGCGCCTCCAACCAGAAGGCACCTAGAGCCAGCCCTCCAGGACTGTCTCTGGGCTTAGACAACTTCAGTGTATACGAGGCTAATCGCTTCATCCTTAAGTGCCCCAAATTTTAGTTTTAATCCCTTTTGGGTAGAATTATTTGTGTGTGGGGGAGAGGACTGAAGTTAGACACTGGGAAGGATTTCTCAACAGTGAAAGAGAAAAGAGAAAAGCGGGAGGTATATGTAGGGCAGCAGGGTCCCTCAAGTAGCAAAGTACATACTCAATAAATACATGGAGAAGAGCTTGGCAAGGGGGTGCACACCTGTAACCACAGCACTTAGGAGGCTGAGGCAAAGGAGTTCAAAGCCAATCTGAACTGTATAGAGAGACCTCTATCTCAGAGAGAGAGAGAGAGACAGAGACAGAGACAGAGACAGAGACAGAAATTTAATACATGAAGAAGTAAGAGGTCTCAAAGCCTGGATTCTAACCCATCCAGATGTTTGCTGGGTGATCTGAAGCTGCGGTAGAATACAGGCTGCACGTAGGAGAGAGGAGGTCTCCATGACTTGGGGTCCCTTTGATCTCTCTGCCTCCTCAGATATCTCTCTTCCTTCCCCCCCTCTTTTTCTCCCCCAGTCCTTGTCTCTGACAGGAAGGGCTGGAAACTGAACTTTCATCAGCCTGATGGGAAGGCCCTCCCTATGAACAGCTGCCTGAAGATTCCAGGATTTCTAGATTCCCCAACACTGCTGCTGTGGGAATCTGTCCCCGGCTCAGTCTCCACATTTGTCTATCTTCCTGGCCTGTCAGTGAGATTGTAAAGTTTGAACTCCATCATTTACTGGTTTTGTGACCTAAGGCAAGTGACTTAATGTTTCAGTTACCTCAGAAGTAAAATGGGCCTCAGTTGCATCAGGAGTAAATGGGATCATAATAGTGCATATTTCCTAAGACTGTTGGAAAGATTAAACTGAGATAACCCAGTCAAGTGCTTAGCTCTTGGCCTGGTAGTTACTAAAGCCCCTTGGTATGCTGATTTTTCCTTGGTCCCAGCCCATATCTTTGTATCTTCTTCTCTGTCACATCTTTTACTCCATCTGTATATTTATTTATTCTGGTACCAAGGATTGAACTCACGATCTTGAGATTGCCAGGCAGGTGCTTATGCTGCTGAGCTAAATCCCCGGCCCCCAACTGTATATTTTATCCTGTGTCTCAGCCTGACGGCCCCTCTTTCTATCTCTTTGGTCTACTTGTGCCTGGTTTTGCAGGTCTGTAGTTCACCCCCTAGCATCCCTGCTTTACTCTGCTCCAACCCCTAAGCACAGCTAGGGTGGGCTGGTATAGGGGTATCCAGGGAGGTTTTTAATTCAAATATGGAATTCCCAGCAGTAGGATCATGCCTGGGCCTGACTAAACATGGGTGAATCATGGTTGGTGGGGAAAGCATTCATGTCTACAGCCCTTCCTGGCTAGACAACAGAGCTGGGGGCTTGGCCTGACAGCCTCTAGGAGGAGGGGACTTGTCTTGACTGCTTCGGCTACCCCCACACCTGGCCTGGAGCCAGATCCTATGATTAGTGCCTGCCTGAAGGTGAGGCCATCTGCCCAGAATCCAGGACCAAAAGGAGAAACCCTCCACCCACACAGAAAGTGTCATCTGCCCTCAGAATTCCCTGAAACCTCTCATACCCATTCCCACGCTCTGTGTGGAAACACATTGCCTTCATAGATTTAGTTCCTCCTGTCTTCGCCTCTTGCTGTTTGTGTCTCTCTCATCCTTGATCTATGCCTTTCACAGCTGCCTGAGTCTGCACTCTCATGCTGAGGCTGTCAAAGACAGGAAAGTATGAGGGCTTGGAGAGTCCATGTGCTTCACCTGGTTAAAAAGCTCCTTCTTGGGAGAAGTCCAGATTTCCTTTCTATGTCACCATGGACCTGCAAAGACAGAGGGCATGGTGTGGAAAGGTGTTCGTCTAATGTAAAACAGTGGAAGTAAGGGCAAACAGAAGACCTGAAACAAGGGACTGGACAGCTGAGGAGGTAGCACTCGGGAGTACGGAAGGACAGGCCATAGAAAGGCTGATGCTTATTTCGTGGCTCAGCAAGGAGTCCTCTCTGGGGGCCAAGATTGATCTCAATTAGCCCCTGACTCCCCCACACTTGGGTCTCAGCCAGACCCTCACGTCAGCTATTGGGCAGGGGGCCAGATAGGTGAGCAGTTAAGAATTTCCTATTCCCAAAGTCTCATTGCCTCAAGGTGCCCACCAGCTTCAAGGAGAGAGAGAGCTGGGACTATAAACCCAGAGGGGCAGAAACCCTGGGCAAGTCACACAGCAGGCAGAGACTGGGACAAGAGTTCCGTCCTAACAGCCACCCTGGGCTTGTCACAGGAATCACATGCCAACACTATGACAGGGGCTAGATCCAGAACACAAATTCATCTCGGGAAGAGTGCCTAGCAATCCTCGAACACGCGGGCAGCTGGGCCAGGGGTAGAATATCCCATCAGGTGAGGACAGATCTGCAGCTTCCTTCCCTCCTCAGATAGAGACAAGCACTGGGACAAGAGTGTCAGAGAGAGAATCTGAGCAAGAGAGAAGAGAGAGCTTAGGAGGAAGTTCAGAAAACAGAAACTCTCAGAGACAGCAGCCAGACACCAAAACAGACATTAGAGAGACAGAAGCCAGTGATGCAGAGACAAGGAAATGCAAAAGAGGGAGCGGCATGGAATTAGAGACAGAGACAGGGAGAGAGGAAGTCAGAGGCAAACTCAGCATCTCGGTCTGAGAGCCATGATATGGAGACAGAGGTAGTCAGAGCAACTCAGGACTGGGAAACAGAGAAAACCAGCTGGGGAAGAGTGAAGACAGATGGGGGTGGGGAATGGCCAGACCAACAGAGGCAGAGAGATGGAGAGAGCAAAGCAGAGGACAACAAAGAGCAAGGGGCAAAAGAGATCAAAACATCAGGAGTGGGAAAGGCAGTGCCAGAGGAGTCTCCGGTCTGTCTCTCTAGCCTGCTCTCCCCAGGGTGTGCCCCCTTGCTATTCTCTAGTTTCCATAGTAACAAGAAGAGCAGCACCAAATCTGCATACCCATTTACATCGTGTCTGTCTGCATAATTCAACAGGTTTCTGTGCATATTCATGAGACTCTGAATGAAGGTGACTCTTCCAGTTCCTGCAAAACTTGATGTGGTGCCCTCCGGCTTGTTTGTAACCTGTAGCGCAGTCACGATTCAGCTTGGCCTTGAGGGTCCTCACCTGAAAATGCAAGGCCTTGTTAACTACACTGCATTCATTCCTCTTCCCAAACACTCCTGCGGTCTCCTACTTCTGGGCCTTCTATTCAAGACTATAACGATGCCTTGTCCTTCTACTTTCTGGAGATTAATCCTCCATCAATCCTGCCAATGGCGCGCGCGCACATACACATACACACACACACACACACACACACACACACACACACACACACGGAGGAGGGGAGGGAGAGAGGAAAGAGAGAGGGAGTGAAGGAGAGGAGAGAGGGAGACAGGGAGGAAAGGAAGGAGATACACTCTGGTAGAAGGTGATGGACCCAGCAGGGCAGGTATGAGTATGCTCACCCTGGCTCCCTGACCAAGGATCACCTCAGGCACTCTCCTAAGGACACTTGAGTGACTGGTAGGTAGGATGAGATGAAGGCTGACAGAACTACCCACAGAGAGAACTCCAGACACTGGGGCCTCCATATGGGAGCTGGTGGAGAGCCCGGCTCCAGCCACAATCATCCTAGGAGCTAGGATAGAGCCCAGGGAACTCCAGGAACAGAGGACAGTGGCTCCCATGGGCAGGAGTACCCAGGTCTGAGAACCCTTCAGAGTGCCAGGCACCGAATGCCCTTGTTGGCTGGGCCTTCTCCAGGGCCTGCTCAGTGAAAATGCTGGCCTTGCCACCTTCCTCACAGCAGCTGCATCACTGCCGCTTCCGCCCTGTGCCTCTAATGCACTCTGCACAGCAAAGCAACCTGAGTGCTCACCCTGAAACCCAGCCTGCAGTCTGCCTCCTCCCTCCTGGAGCCCCTTCACAGACTCCCCTTCACCTCTAAAAGTCCAGGCTCCGGGGCAGGCACACAGGCCTCTAGTCCAGCCCTGCCTGGCTTCTGAGCCGTATTCCTCCCATTGTTTGCCTTGACCTTCACACTCCAGTGATCATCTTCCTGCTTCTCACTTCCTATCTTGGCTTGTGCCTTCCCTTCACCTTGCGTGTCTTGTTCACCTTTCTCCTACCTATCCTTCAAGAGTCTACACTGGGGGGCTGGGGATTTAGCTCAGCAGGCATAAGTGCCTGCCTTGCAAGCAGGCAGTCGTGAGTTCGATCCCCGGTACCGGTAAAAACGAAAAAAAAAAAAAAAAAAGAGTTTACACTGGCATCACTACACCACTACCATGACTGCTGCTTCTGTACTGAAAACTGAACCAAGGGATGCACTACCCTGAGCTGTGTTCCTTGCCCCACTTTTGTTTTAGACAGGATGGTACTAAATTGCCTAGGAAGAACTCCAACTTGGGAGCCTCCTGCTTTATCCTCCTCCGGTGCCAGGGTTATAGGTACGTGCCACTGTACCCAGCTGCCTCCACTTCTTTGAAGCTTTCCTGTCCATAAAGGCTGGGCAAGCAGCTCAGATTCCTTTTTCTTTTTTTTTTTTTTAATTTTATTTAAAAGGAAAAAGAGAAAAAACAAAACAAAACAAAGCAGTGTAAGGGTACAAGTAATACAGAACTACAAAAAAAATAAATAAATAAAAATAAAAAAACAAAAAAAACCAACAGTAAGAAATCACCGGTTAATAGATTACATATTATCATCTTAGAGATAGTTGCTCAAATCACAGTATCAAAGCATACAAAGTGGACACTCAAACAGTGAGACTGCAAACAGTTGTGTTCAGTGATCCAACCAAAAACATTAATATGGTCAGCTATTTAACACCCCTAAACAGTCTTACAGCTCAGATTCCTGCAGTAATGGACTTTCCTAATCTGTGGATTGTCAAACCACAATCCCATCTCTGAGGAAAAAATAGCAAAACAATCTATATATGTGTGGCTATAGCCTGCATGTGATTGACTGAAAAACTGAACATTAAAGTACTGTATATATCTTGCATTTAGGGCTTCAAGGGATCTGCACAGAACCTGCAAAGGAGAGGCAAGGGCCATCCCTTTGCAAATGCTGCCACCTTATGTCTACGTCTAGAAGTGCGGGCAGAACATCGCCTACTCAGAGCAGGAACCACTGGGATCTGGAGATGACCAACAAAATCAGGCTTGATTCCTGAGCACCAGGCTGGCAAGGAAAGGGGAGGTAGGTCCTGGAGAAGTTTCAGGAGTTAGTGTCAGTATCCTTTCAATACCGTTGATGAATTACAAGCAGACAGAATGGTAAGAGTGAAGGATCTGGAGAGAGAGATCTCAGAGCACTTGGGAAGGGTGACGAAGCATTAATGTGGCCAGGGCCCAACATCCAAGGAGCCCAGGCTAAATATGGATTGAATCATAGACAGCATTAAGCTATAAGGCCACTCAATGAATTAATTTGGATCTTTCTGTCCAATCTGGCCGTGAGAGGCTAAAGGAGAATGCCAGTGAAGGTCAGTCTGAGTGGCCACATATTGGAGGTTCAGCATTCACTCACGCATTAAATATGTACTGAGCACCTACTTACTAATGCCAAATGATATCCAAGATCCTTAAGTTACATCAGTGAAAGACTCTTGCCTTTTATATTCTTATATTCTCATCAGGGGTAGACATAAACACAACTGTTATTTTAAAGAAATTGTATTTAGAAGGTAAAAACATACATGGAGAAACAGACACAGTAAGGGAGGTCAAAGGCGCAGACTTGCAGCTTTTAATGAGTGGAAAGAGTAAGTGACATCTGGGCAAGGACTTCAAAGAGGGACATAACTGTGCAATTATCTGGGAAGGTGACTTGGTTTGGAGGAGAGCTTGATGAAGGGGAGTAAAAGCACAAAACTGTTGTAAGATGAGGCCTGGAAGATGAGATCAGCAGGACTTGGTGTCTGCTTGGCTATGGGAAGCACACCACGTGTACTTGTAGGCATATTAGATGCTGAAGTTCCATTGCAAGACTAACAAATACAGGTACCACTCTTAAGGCAAGGTAAGAATGCTCAACACTTCTGGTCCTAGGTGACTCCATTATCTACCTGCATGTTCCTTCCATGCCCCTACCCCTTCATTTACTCAGTGGCGTTTCCTCCTGGCCATCCAGCCAGGTATTCCTGTACCTGCAGCTTTTCATTGCTCCTACCTGTTTTAACTGTCTGGAAGAATGCTGGAGTGCTTTTCCTGCACTCTTTCTGTCTAGTGGATGCTGCTGAAGCTCACATACCCACTACTAATAATACACTAGTTCACTGCCGACAGCCTGCCCTTGGCTTTCAGCCCTGCCTGGTCATCTTTTCCAATTACTACAGCAATCTCCCATGTTCCCTCACCCTACTCTCAGCTATAGAACTGGACTCCTGCTTCTTCTCCACTCTATCTGTACACACACCCATCCTCAACTCTTTTCGTCCTGTTAAAAGGTGTCCTCTCTCCAACTTCTTGAAAGGGCTGGCCCCATTTCCTTTTGTAGCCAAGGCAAAACCTTTTCTAACAAGTTATGTAAAGAGAAACTGCACTGAAGTGGGTTAAAGAGAAAGTAGGAAGTTAAAAAAAAAATTATATACAATTAGTGCTCTCTTCTGGGCTTGGTTACACTTTCTCATTCCAAAGGCCTCACTCCTCTCGGGCTCCCTACCTGCCATGACTCCTACAGGCCCCAGCTGGGCCTTGTAGAGCTCAAGGTGGAGGAAAAATAGGTTAGAGTTGCTAGTTGCCCCTTTCTCAGTCTGTAGTTTATTTCTGGATTCTCTTGAGATACAGATCCTGTCTTCTCACTGGGACTTTTGAGCCTGGTTGTTTCCTTCCACAATAACACTTTTATCATCATGGGACCCCCAGGTGGTACAATAAACAGCCTAATTGGGGGTCCCTTCTAGAGCTCAAGGGCCTTGCAGTGCCACCTGACTGAATCACTCCTTTGGAAGTTTCCATGTTTATTCCATGTGATTCCTTTACCCTCGCTACAGAAAAATGGATCAAGATGAGATACTATCAATGGCCAATAGTCTGCAAGAGTCTGGCCCCAAAGATCTAGAGACCAGGGACACCTGTGACACTGAGAACTGTTAATGGCAGCAAACACACAGTGACGATGTTAAAAGGCAGGAAGCAGAAGCTGAGATGGAGTAGAACCCCTGAAGCATATTATTATTATTCTGGTTTTGCAATTTGCCAATGTCAAATTGGAATTGTCAAGGCTTAGCTTCCAAAAGTCCTGGTTCCATTGGCAGTACATAGATGATGGTAGGAATTATGACTAGTCTACTTTTATATAGATATGAAGGGAATTTTAAAAAATTGTGAACAGCATAGAACTGTTCTATGTTTTTTTTTTTTGTACCAGGAATCAAACTGATGACCTCACGTTTGCCAGGCAGGCGCTCATGCTGCTGAGCTAAATCCCCAGCCCCCAGAACTTTATTTCTTGTTTGGTTTCGTGGCCCACACCTATAATCCTAGAACATGGGAGGCTGATGCAGGATTGCTGCAAACTTGAGGCCAGCCTGGACTACAGTGAGTCCCAGAACTATACCTCAAGACCTTGTCTCAAAGACAAAAACAAGAAACTCCCAATACTTTCTTAATTTTAAACTATGCTGATATGTCTTAAACTGTGTATGAATACTTATCATTTTGATGCTTGAAATTAAACAAAGCAAGCTGGGCACGGTGGTGCACACCATCAGTCCAGCACTCAGAGGCTGAGGCAAGATGATGAGATGGAGGCCATCAGGGCTACACAGTGAGTCAAGGCTGCCTGAGCTACACAGTGAGACCCTGTCTCCAAAAACAAAAGCAAGGAAACAATCCGATGCACCTTCTAAACCTGTTTTGTTGACTTTCAGTGTTGATGCAGACTTGTAATATATATAAGCTGCATGTTAGTCATATCATCTTTTTATAAGAACTACAATTGTAAACAAGGAACAACCCTGAATTATTTGAAAGAATAGAGGTGAAGCCACTGCTTACAGCAAGACACTTGAATTCCCACAGCATCCATAGTTACCTTTAGGGGTTTATGAGATGCTTCATGATCCTCTGTATTTGAGGGGTCTGGTGGGGCAGTCACTGAGTTTCCAGGTCCAACATTCTCTGAATACTTACCATCTGTCCTGCCTACCCACAAGATCTTTCATGTCACTCAAGCGCAAAAGCATAGAACTTTTTGTAGGTATGGTGGCCCACATGTGTAATCCTACAATGTGGGAGGGTGATGCAGGTTTGCAGCAAACTTGAGGCCAGCCTGGACTACACAGTGAGACCCTGTCTCAAAAAACCGAAACACAGCCAAAAAAAAAAAAAAAAAAAAAAAAAAAAAAAAAAAAAATCCGACATGAACTGAGTTTTTTTTTGGTCATGATTGGATACCCAGGTTGCTGAACACATTGGAAAAACCTTGAGATCCAACTGATTCAACTCTTTGCAGTCCAACCTGCTCTAGTGCCTGATAGTCCTTGGCTACTGATACAACCTTTATTTCTTCCCTCATGCACTCGACCTTGCCACAGTAGATCTGAGTCTAAGGCCAAAGTGAAGCAGGAAAGAAACAGCAAGGGTAAAAAGCCAAGGATGAAACTAGAGGAAGATGTGGGGCTAAACACCTCCCCATCTGCCGCTGTCCTTCAGTACTGGAGACTGAACACAGCAATTTTATACTGAACTGCACCGGTAACTCTTTTTGATATAAAGTCTGCTAAATTTCTCAGGTTGGGCTCATACTTGCCTCAGCCTCCCAGAGTGCTGGGATTATAGGCATGCCACTATTCCCAGCAATTGAGTGTTTTAAAATGGTAAAAAAGCATCCATAAAATGAGTCATTTATAATAATAGCATGAAGCATTTATACAGCACTGGATACCCAAGTGGTATCTGTCAAATATATTTATCTCATTTAATTCCCTTAATCACCCTGTGAGACACACTTTTGTGTATGTGTGGTACTGGGGACTGAACCCATGCCTTCACATTGAGCTACACTGAGCCTTTTTTCTTTTTAATTGAGATAGTCTCACTAAACTGCCCAGATGGTACATGAACTTTTAACCTCCTGTATCAGTCTCAGAGATTACAAGAATGCCCCCACCACACCTACTGAAGTAAAGGATCTTGCATTAAAACGAGAACACTAAGGCACAAGCAGTAACTTGTGAAAGGTCACAAAACAGTAACTTCCAAGTGGCAGAACCAGAATTCAGACCTAGGAAGGCTGGGGCGTCAGTAAATGATCCCACTGTAACACATGGTACAGCTGAAGAAACATGACCTGGCAGCATTCTCAGACCAGCCCAAATCAGGTGGCAAATACCCAGCCAGGAGGGGCTGGGGATTTAGCTCAGCAGCGTAAGCGCCTGCCTTGCAAGCAGGCAGTCGTGAGTTCGATCCCTGATACCGATAAAAAAGAAAAAGACAAAAAAAAACCAAAAACAAAAACCAAAACCCAGCCAGGGGCCCAGATAGATTCTCATTACTGACTGAGGCTTTCTGTATGTTGTGTGTATGCCCGGTGCTAGGATCTGAATCGAGGCCTCATGGATGCTAGGCAAGTGCACCACTTGCTAAGTGCTACATCCAGCCCGTGCCTCTTTATTTACACTGGATCCTCCCAATTCCAGCCTGAGCTTACCTTCCCCAGTCTCCAACCTATCCACTTCAGAGGGCAAAGGCAGGGACTCCCATGCATCTCATTTCCACACAGCAGCCAAGCAGAGGCTTATCCGATAAATGGCAGAACCTTTATTTCCTAACTCTTTCTCTAAGCCTATCAGAAGGCAGATGGGGTACAGTGTATGAGGAAAACAGAGAAAGCCCTTCTCAAGCACGCCAGAATGCAGCAGAGACCCCACACCTGTTCTCTTCACCGTACTGTGGTCCTTCCCCATATGCCAGGGGGAGCAGAACTTCTTGGACCCAGCTTTGTTGGGGATGTTTAGCTTCCTGGAAAAGGCACAGTCAATCCAAATATCAGGCCTAGAGAATAGCTTTGGCTCAGCAGGTCTTCAGGATCGGTTGTCTCGAGCCCTTCTTTGGGGTCTCGAGCCACCGCTGGAACTGGGCACAGAGCCTAGGCCAGGGGCTGCCCCTGGGGGCTGGTAACCACATTCACTAGGGTCCAGGGGGTCACGGCTGAGCAGTACCCACACTGCAGGCACATGGCGGCGTACTGTGAGGGGGTCTAGGCCTGTGTCAGGCGAGGTTGGGACCCAGCTGTCCTCAGTCTGCAGGAAGCGCAGTTTGGTGAGCTGATGCAGGCCTGGGACTCGCCGCTTGACAATCTCAGCGCAGCTGACAGCTTTCCCTGCAGCTCGGCCAGAACCTGAGAACACCACGTGCCGGGCACTGCCACCCTCCAGCCGACCCAGTGCCAGCCCCAGCAGGTTTCGAATTTTGCTGCCATCTCGAACGCGCATCTCCAGGGTATCCGGCGGTAGCTGGGGCATCGGGGAGGGTGCTGGTAGCTCCACGGAGCCAGCTTTCCGGTAGTGCTCCATGGGCTTGCTGTGGGGTCCACGTCCTGCTGCCCGCTGCGGGAAGGTAGCAGATGAGTGACCGCCAGGCCATCCTCTACCATCCCTCCACCCGCGCAGGCTGTGGCCGCTTTCTCATTCCCAGAAAGGGGATCACAACCTCTGGGCCCATTTCTCAGAACAGGGGCCATGCCTCCTTCACCCCAGGGAGATGCTGCACGCTCACACCCCTGTTCTCTAGGCAGGGCCCCAGGTCCGCTCCTAAATCCTGGAGTCAGGAGGCTGTATCTAACTCCCCATACTGAGCTTTCTGTGACAGGCCTGGCTATGGCCATTCTCCCAGCTCCCAGGACGGGAGGGCGCCCTCCTGGGCCAGGGACCCCCGCTTCGCCTTTCCAGAGGCCAGGGTACACTCACGAGCCCCAGGACCCCGGGACACAGCCCAGAACCCTTCCCAGCCCGGCGTTCTCGGAGGGCAGACCTGACTCTGGGCAGCCGCGCCCCGAAATTACCTGGGTCGATCTGCATCAACCCAGGTCCTTCAGAAGCGGGGGGGGGGGGGGCGCGTGGCCACGGCTCGCTTCTTCCAGGCCCTGCGGAACAGCAGGCGAGTCCCCGCCCGGCCCGCGGCCCCACCCCGCGGACACCAGGGCCTCACCGCTGCCGCTGCCGCCAGCGCGCGTTCGTGCCAAGCAGCCAAGATGGCGCCGACCCGGAAGCGCGCCGAGGCTGACGGGGCGGGGCGGGCCCCGGGCAGACGGGGAGGGGAGGGGCAGATAGGGCAGGGCGGCGCGACCGCGGGATTCGCGGTAGCGTGGGGCAGAGGCTTCCACGGCGGGGAGGGCCCGCGGATAAGGGCGGCCCTCGGAGGCTCGCGTCCGGGGACGGGGATTCCGCCGTGGGAGCAGGGCTCCCTGTTGAGGGGCTGCTGGAACGACGGCGGAGCCTGGAATGCGCACTTGGCGTGGTCGCTGCCGCTGCTGCTGTGTCAAGGAGATCCAATTACCGCATTCTGTGCTTCCGCCCCATCCCGTGGGCACCGGCGACCCACAGCAAGCTTTCAGCAGCGGACAGTCGGGCCGTATTTTGTGCAGCCCACTCTGGCTGTCCTGAGGAGAGGGTCCGGGCTGTACCCCACACTAGCCTGGACAGTCCTCACAGCACCCCGAGGCGACGGCACCCAGGGGCGTGTTCAGTTACCACGCTGCCGAGTAGGACAGGCACTCAAGCTTCTTAAATGGTTTTATTGAATTAACCACAGAAATGGCACCGGGAGTGAAGATTAAACTGGGAGACTTAACAGGTAGTTTGGGTGGAGTTGGCGACTGTTTGAATAGAGAAGTAGTCTAGGATGAGTGCCAGGTTTCAGATTTAGACAAGATCCAATTTGAGGGACAAACTGAGACTACGTGGGTTAGGCAGTCAGCAGGCAGGTCCGTCTGGAGCCAAGCCATTCCCTATGACCACAAGAGGGCAGCAAACCCCCGGAGTGCGCGCCAATCTCACTTTGTCCCTTTCTGTTATCCCTTGCCCCTCCTTCCCAACTTTTCCCAGCGCCTCAAACTTTCTACATCCAAACCTCTTGGGCTTCCTTTCTCAGCTGATGGCACCAGGTGGGCTCCCAAGAGAGAAATCTGAGAGCTCCTCTGTGCATTTGCATGTACTGCTTTCCTGGCTCCGAAAGTCCTCACATATCACCCATCAAGAATACTTCCCTTCAGTCCCTTGTTTCGTGTCTGAAAGGACCTTGTGCCCACCTTTTAGGACTTTCTTGTCTCCCTTGCTGCTTTGTGCACTTCAGAAATTAGGTGGCCCTACCATGTCTTCCCAACCTGGCATGGCATGACTTGGTAAACTCGGGATAAATGGATGCATAAAGGAATGTCCCAATCACATCAGTCAAATGACAGCCTTCATCCTGAAAGCTGTTCACCTCCCCAAAAGCCAAACCAGAATGATTATAGCTCCTATTCCAGTCCATCGGAAGGCTGACAGCTCTTTACCATCAAGGTCATCGTAGACCAGGAAGCCAGCTTCTCCAGAGATCTCCACAGTTTATTGCCATGGAATAAATACACTGATGGGAGAGGGGATTTTTGCAAAGCACAATTTCCAGGTAACTGGATCTCTGACCTCAGAGCCCCACCTGAGGGCAGATAGGGGTCCTGGAATCCAATAAATACAAAGCTTTCTTGCCTGGATAGACTGGCACAGGGCCCAGAGCCCGCTGCTCTGGGATGGGGAGTAGCTGTCACTCTTCTGCGGGCTTCACTTGCTTGGCAGCCTCTAGCTGGGAAAGCAGCTCATCCCACTGCACAAACTGCTTAGAGAGAAGCATTGTCTAATTATAGGTCAAGGTGAGAACAGAAAAGACTTTTTATATCCACCAAAGTGGATATGGGTGAGGGGGCAAGGAACAGATAGGTTGGTTGGGATGGGATGGAATGAGATGAAAGAGAGCTAGAGGTGTGACAAAAAAAGACAGAGCCTGGAGACAGCACCCATTACGGTGAGCAGAAAGGATACAGTCTTGTTGTATTCTTCCAGGAGAGTCTTGGACTCGTCAGTGATCTCCACACATTGGTCCTAATAAGCCCAGTGACAGGAAAAGAAATTGGACAAAGCCCCCATCTCCCATTAACTTCCTGCCCCCATCTTTCCCCATAGAAATTAGAAAAGTAACATCTAGCACAGAAGGAGTACATTGCCAATGGGTGTTTTCAGGCTTTAGGGTGGGTGTCCTACCAGCAACTCAGAGACCAATGGAGAGAGAGACGGGCTGCACAGTAAGTGAGCTTTCCCTCAGTATGTTTCTTTCTACTCTGTTTCAATTTCTGAATTTCTTTGAACTTGAAACTAGGGCCTCAGAAAAACAGAAGGCAGGGGAAATCCTCCATCCTCCAGCTATAGTTAAGGATGTAACACACCCAGGATTTTGTGTGTGTGTCTGTGTGTGTATGTGTAAATGTGCACCACTGGGATTAAACTCGGGGCCTTTGCACTGAGTTACATCTCCAGCCCTTTAGCTTTGTTGTTTATTTGTTTTCACATTTTGAGGCAGGGTCTTACTGACTTGCCCAGGCTGGACTCAAATTTGTGACCCTTCCCACTGTGGCTTCTAGAATGCTGGGATTACCTGGTTCCTAGAAATTTCCAACTTCAACCTTCTGGTGTCTTAAAATAGCCCTGCCCTCGGAGGCAGGAGGCAGGAGGCGGGGATGTGGCCCCAGGGAGGTCTATTCCCCTTTCGAGGTGGGCATGTGGAAGATAGAGGATAAACCTCCCAGTCTGCAAGCAGAAGCACCTTAGGGTCCTTCCCCAGGTAGCAGGATGGGAAGGCAGTGCCTTACCGCTGGGCTTTCTCTTGTTGTCTCCCCTCCCATACCTGCTGCTGAATATGGATCTGGGCCAAGTGCTGCAGGCGGGCAGCATGTTCGGGAACGGCTGTAAAACACAACACACACGGCCTCATGATGCTCGTGCCCTCCCCCGGGACTGCTCAATAGTCTATTAGGTCTTCAGCAGGATTAGAGTATTGAGTGGAGAAGCGAAACAAACGCCAGGCTTCATTGACCACTGTAGCCAGTGGGAGGGTGGTTCCCTGCCCACCCCAGTCTTAATTCCAGGACCCACAGGGGAAGGGAAAAGGAGGCACAGAGGAAAAAACCCTTGGAGTCCCCAATGTTGCCCTTACCCACCCAAGTGCTATGAACAGAGCCAGATAAATGCAGTTTTCTCTCTTATGAACCTGCTCCTTTGTACCTAGTGGAATAGGGTCAGGTTTGCCTGGATAAGGAACAGGAAGCCTGTAGATGGACCAAGGATGTATGTCACACCCACAAAGTAGCCGCTTGGAATCCAACATCCAGAGCCCTAGCCAGCACATTGGGTCCATGGAGGAGCTGGGAAATATGCCTCCAGAGACAGGCAAGATGTGTATCTGGATTCAATTAAAGCTACTGCCTGCTCATCAAAGCCCAGGCCCAGAGACTCTCAGCAGTGCAGCAGGAAGAATTCACACATCTGGCAGGGCTAATAGTAAAACTGGGTTCTATAACACCGAGGGACAGATGTTAAAGGGTGGAGTACAAGGCAGAATCCCCAGACTTAGGGCTGCTAGTGTTTGTTAGTGTCCTTAGGCCCACATCATCTGAGGTTTTGAAACCAACTCTCCACCCTGGGAATTTTAATCCTAGTGCAGGTGGCAGGAACCCTCAGGGTAGAGAATAAAAATGAGCAAACCCAGCCTGAACCCGAGGAACCTGAGGCACAGGGAAGTTCTGCTCATCCACCCAGCTCCCCAAGCAGCAACAGCAGAGCTGCAGTCCCGCAGAAGTACCTTGAATGGAAGCACTGTCCAGCATGGGCAGCAGAGTATCCACCTGCTCCAAGAGTGCGACCTGGGAGAGGATAAACTGCTCCTCTGAAGTGTAAAGACAAGACAGCAATGAAACAAACCTGGAATTGTTATCCCTGGGCCACCCTGGCAGGGTGATGGCAAGGCCTGGAGATGTGGGGAGTGATTCCGCCCAACAGCTTCTTTTCTGGGTACACATTCCTATCCTGCGCCCACCTCTCTTGCATGCCTTTCTCTGACACATCTGGAGCTTTTTCTAGCCTCTAACAACTTGGGCCATGGGAGTCTTGGGTATCACACCAAAAGCCCCCAGGAAGTTCCAAAAGAGATACGTAGCAGACTATACCAGGCAGGTCCTGCTTGCTGGCTTTCGGAGGTACAGACAATTAAAATAGCAGAAAAGCTGGGACAGCAATGAGAAAGGCCATTGAGAAGACTGGATCTGGTCTGGACTCTGTATACACAGGGAGTTCAGTGTACTGCAATTCAGCAAGACTTGGTGTCACACACTTATAATCCTAGCCACATGGGAGACTATAGCAGGAGGATCTCAAGGTGGAGGCCAGCCTGGCCATCTCTGGGTGACAGGGCGGGACATGTAGTTCAGTGGCAGAACCTGGCCTAGCGTGAGTGATGACCTGGATTCAGTCCCCAGTATAACACAAGTAAGCAAAACAAAACCCACTTAATTCATGGAATGGGAAGACATTCAAGAGAGAGTACTAGTGGGGTGTGGGGGTGCATGCCTGTAATCCCAGTACTTGGGAGGCTGAGGCAAATTCAAGCCCAACCTGGGTTACAAAATGAGCTCAAGGCCAGCCTGAACTGCATAGTGAGATCCTGTCTCAAAAAAAATGAGAGGGAGGAAGGGAGGGGGAGGGAGAGACGAGACAGAGACAGAAACAGAGAGACAGAGACAGAGAGAGAACCGTTACATGCAATGTTTCTCAATAACAAAAAACATTCAGTTGGCTGAACTGGAGCAGGGAGATCACAAGAAACAAAGCTGGATGGAAGGACAGGCCCAGCACACTGGAAGGCCTCAGAGAGCAAGCTAAAGAATTAGGATTTGATCACAGCAAGGAAAGGAGACACTGAGGTCTAAAGTAGGCAAAAGACACACTGGAAACAGGTCATAAAGATGAGACTGGGACCATGTGCAGGAAGGAAAGATCAAAGTAAAAATGATTTAGAAAACTGTGCAACTGTTTGTTTTTGAGTGAATGTCCACTCCACAAGGTAGTGGACAGGAAGGATGGGGAAGGATGTACAAGTTGGGCTCAAGTGTCGGTGCACCGAAGAGATCTTGAATTGGGTGCTGGTGCCACGGCAATTGACCAAGAGCTCTCGGGGGGCCCTGGCAACTGCTCCTTTTTACCTAGTCTTCAGTGTTGGACTGCATAGACAGGTTACAAGTTCATGTTCCTAAAGCAGAAGCTTTGTTTTTCTAGCTCTGATTGTACATATGATGGCAGGAACTTTCTGGATTTTCATTATGTTTCCAATATCCAGGATAAAGCCTTCATCATTAAATGTTTTTTTTTTTTTTTTTTTAGGGAGGAAGGTCAGACAAGGACTTGCTGTGTAGTTCAGGTGGGCCTCAAACTTATGACAATCCTCCTGCCCCAGCTTCCTGAGTACTGGGATTACAACCATATATCACCTACACCTAGCTACCAGCTGCACCTTGCTTTTTCTTTTGAGACAAGGTATTACTAGGTTATTAAATTGTTCAGGCTTGAACTTGTGATTCTCCTACCTCAGTCTTACAAGTAGCTGGGATTACAAGCGTGCACTACCAGGCCCAGCTGAGTATATTCTGCACGAATGAATGAATGAACGAACACTGGTGGAGTGGTATTCCTGCCTAAAACCGTGGATTTTCCCTCAGATTTCTCATATGAAAGATGAAACTCGTGCCAGTGCTCTCCCTTCTCTTGAATGATGTTATCTGCCTTCACTCTTTCCTAGAAGACCCTCTGTTCAGTGATCAGAAGGAGAAAAGTTCTGTAGGAAACTTGTATGGCAGGTGGTTGACAGAACACTGGAGGAGCACCCACTGTGACTAGTCCCATGACCTACCGCTGCTGGCCCACCGGTATCCGGGACCTGGAGTCTACTACAGGATCCACAGACTCACGTTGGACCTTAGCCCACAGCCAGGCCAGAATTCCAGACAGCAGTTTTCAGAGCTATATCTATGATGAGATGGGAGAGGGGGGCCCAGCTCTCTCACAGCCCGCACCCTCAGATGTGTATGCACCCAGAGTCCAGCGTTACCTGCTAAAATGAACTGCAGCTTAGAGGCATCAGGGATGGCAATACGGTCAATGTACTCAGGGTCCAGGTATTTGATCACATCTTCAACTAGAAAAGTACCAAGATGGAAACACAGAACTAACGGTACAGTGTTACAAAAGAAGTTTAGGGAGAGCCTTGAATGAGGAGCTGACACCCACAGTGACCCACAAGGTGTATCTATCAGGTTCCCTGTCCTATGTCCTTGTTTCTCTATTGTCATTACCTGCTGGCTGACCCAGAAACAACTGCTGCCAGCAGTCTGAGGCCTCAAGCATCTCCACTGACCTATTCTCACCTGGGAGAAGACTTTTTTCTCCCTCAATGCCACCAATAGGAGCCAGAGCTTCATCTGATTTCTAGTTGATGAGCAGTTACTAATTGTGACAGAACTAAAGAGACAGGGCTGAATCAAGCCTGGGGCTCACACTGGCTAATTTTTTTCTTGCTTCTAAACTCTACCTGGAGAAATATCATATCCTCTTCTCTCTTCCCCTCCTTTCACCAAGGGAAACTTTCAGGCAGGGCTCTTATCTCATAACTTGGGATACTGAAATGGGCTTGTGATTCATCTGCTAGATAGAAAAGCACAGCTAGCTCACCACTTCAGTAGGGGAATGTCTTCGCATAGGACTATTCTAGTGACCTACTGACTAGGAATCAGGTCCCAGGAATCACAAGCATGGGAAGGCACCCCAAGGAAGCACTTACTCTTTTTGTACAGAATCTTCACCCTCTCCCTCTTACTGGCAATGTTCCCCAAAGCCACCTGCACCTTGACCAGACCATCAGCCACCTGTAAAGGGTATGGAAGTTAATTCTAAATATATCATTTGGTTCAAGGCTTGGAAGCAGTAAAAAAAAACCTTTATCCTGCTGGGTGTGGTAGCCATGTCTTCGATGCTAGCACTTGGGAGGGTGATGCAGGAAGATCACCACAAGGCCAGGCCAGCCTGAGCTACACAAGTGAGATCCTTATTATGGATTGAAACCTCTACAAACTGTAAGCTGAAATAAACCTTTCCTCCTTTAACTTTGAGTGTTGAGTATTTTGTCTCACTAAGACATTTTATATTCCCTGGTTAATAAAACCCTAGGTTTGAGTATGAGAAATGCAATTACCTCACACAGGCCTTCATTACTTCATGGCTAGATGACTGAACAGATGTTACTGGCTGGCCTATCTCCAGCCTTATCTCCTCCACCTAAGCTCTAATGTTCCCAACTTCTAGGGTATCAATAATGGTGCAATCTTTGTAGGGAATACAAAAAAAAATCAAGTTAGATGTAGAGTTAAAAGTATATAGATTGAATGCTGAGCCTGGTGGTGTATGCCTGTAATCCCAGCACTTAGGAGACTGAGGCAGGATGATTACTGCGAGTTACAGGCCAGCCTTGGCTGTATGCCCTGCCTAAAAAAAAAAGAAAAGAAATCTGGACCAAAATACACATTGGAGACGTAATGCCATATAAACAGTAGCTGGAATTACAGAAGTGGATGAGCTTACCTAGGGTGTAGAAGGTGAGGAATTCCAATACTTAAGGGTCAAACAGAGGAGTGAAGAGCTCACCCAGATTTTAGAGAATAAATATGTGTGTGAGGCAAATAAGACTGAAAACAGCAGCCAGAGAGGTAGCAGGAAATCAAAATTAGAGTCAAGATAAAACAAGAAGAGAAGTTAGCTTTCAAATGTGAGTACAATCTGCCAGTGACAATAAATTCCACAAGAAGTGTACAGACAACTGGGTATGGTGGTGCACACCTGTAAACATAGCACTTGGGAGAGTGAGGATCATCACAAGTTCGAGGCCTGCCTGGGATACATAGTGAGTTCGAGGCCAGCCTAAACTACATAGTGAGATCCTGTCTCAACAAATAAACAAGAAAAAAAAGTGTACACACTGATACCATCCCTCTGACTCCTTAGCTGCAGGATATGCCTGACATGACATGAGAAATTCTTCAATAAACATTCTTTCCCTTTAGGAAAAGGGACTAGTGTACCTGTGCGTCGTACCTGTCAAAATTCAGTCATTGTTGTCGACTGGCAGCCCACTCTGAACACCCGGTACCCGACCCTTGACCTTCGTAATCCTGACCTTCTCAGGCTTTCTCTCTCATCCCTTTGCGCTTTCCTTATACAACTCTGCACTGCCTCCTCTGGGGTCCCATGGACAATTCCTTTGGCTAGTAATTCTGTTGGGCTCTGGGTCGGCACTTTCACTGTGGACTTTAGATCTCACCGAAACTCTCATTAGTCAGTCAGCTTCTCACCAATGTCAAGCCTCCTCGAGCTGTCTCCGAGGGCTGGGGCGGGGTCCCAGTCCCAGTCCAAAGAGGCCTAACCTTCGCTGAGCCCCGCCCCCGCCCGCCCAGGGGAGTGGATTTCGAGCTCCCAACAGGCTCTAACTAGCCCCAGATCTTTATTTCAAAGGCCTGATTGTAGACCTCGGCCCGGGAGCGACTGCGTCCGTCCCGAGGGCTGGAGCGGCGGACGGCTCTTGCCGCGGCCCAGAAACGGACTATCAGAGCACACTCTTACCTTCCTCGAGCCGCGGGCTCCGACTGGTCCGTACACCCAGCGTTCCAGCTCCTCCACTCGGGCCTGTAGCCTCTGTACATCCGTCAGGGCTGCCATCACAGCTGCAGCACTGCCTCCGCCGCGGGGAACTGACAGGGTGGAAGATCCACCCAAATAAGAAGGCTGGCCAATCCAAGTGCAGCCTGGCCTCAATACAGGAAGTGGCGTCACGAATGAGCTTTTCAAAGCCGGAAATGGTCTGACAGCACCGTTGGAAGATAGCCAAATCTGTCTGGTTACCTAGGCAACGCTACCTGTCGGCGGCCCAGTCCTGGCTTCTAGCATCTAGTTGACAACATTCTGCTTTTCTTCTTCTAATTCTAGCATACCAGAGTTTTCTCCACACATTCTCTGAAGTTGCACATATAGATACACCTATTCCAAAATAGGTACATTCACTTAGATCACTAGGAAGATGTCTGAATAAAAACTTTTGGTGTCTTTTAAGGTTTAAGAGACTGAGTAACCAGAGCCAGGTGGAATGGTACATGCCTGCAATTCCAGCATTCTAAGGCTGAGGAGGATCGCAATTTTGGTGACTTAATAAGACCCTATTAAAAAAAAAAAAAGAAAAAGAAAAGAAAAAAAAAAGAAAAAGAAAAAGAAAAAGCTGGCTGTGGTGGCGCATACCTGTGATCCCAGCACTCAGGAGGCTGAGGCAGAAGGATCACCACAATTTCGAGGCCAGCCTGGGCTACATAGTGAGTTCATAGGCCAGCTTGGACTATGTAGTAAGATCCTTTTCTCAAAAACCAAAAACCAAAACAAAACAAAGGTGCAGGAAGGGGACTGTATTTCTATGTGAAGGCCCTGAGTTCAAATTCTAGTATTCTTAGTAATAATAATGATGACATAAGTGATCTGTCCAAGGCACTCTGGTGAAGAATCAAGATTTAAACTCAAGCAGTCTGATTCAAGAAACTTCTTTGCTATTTGCCTTTACCTCTAAAAATATAGGCTAATGCTGCTTGTGTACTACACCATTCCCACCTCCCAGGCCCAAACAAAAAGAGAAAGCACTGAAGAGGGAGGGATTGAAACTTTATTTTCCAGATGTGCCCTGAGGGGCATTTCCTTCATAACACTCCAACTTGTACCTGGCTCCTGAAGGGCAACAGGGTTGACTCAACCTTTTGAGGTGGGGTGCTACAGATGACACTGATGCAGGGGCACAGGAGGGGGAAAGAATTCTTTGGTAGATGCTGCTGGAATTGGCCAAAGAGGAGGTGCCCTCCTTTTACAATGAGGTAGATGAAACATCAAACTAAAACCTTCAGCAGGGAAGTGGGGTGCAATATCAATCAGGGCCCCAGTGGGCATCTTGAAAGAATCAAAGTGAGAACGTGGCCCACCCCAGCAATGGGGTTGGGATTTAGTTCTGAGTTGGAGTTCTCAGGGTGAGATGTTGACAGGGGGTCCTGTTGAGAGTGGGGGAGCAGGGTTGGTGGAGCCCTGGGAAGCTGTTACAGGCTGGCGACGGGCAAAGAGAACACCTGGCGAAAGGGGTAGGAGGTGGTAAAAGGTAAACACAAGCAAGAGAGGGTGGGACACAGAAAAAGGGAAAAAAATGTAAGTGTTCCGATCACTAAAACACCACGCACACACCCGTGCCACCCAGCCTCCATGGTTGTAAGGAGAAGGCCCTCAGGTCAATGAGAGATTCCTATACCAATGTAGATAATCTTAAGCAAGAAATATTGACACTGAACATAGGCCCATGACAAGGCAAGCATTCCATGGTAACCATGCCACAGGGCCATGCCTTAAACCCCATGCCTTACAAATTACCCCGCTGTAAACTATGCCACCGTGAATCTGTACCCATGCAAGTTCAGATATCCCTGAACCTCATGCTACTGTAAAAATCTAAAGTCCTCATGCCAGCCTGAATATCCTGACTCCATGCCAGTGTAGACAACCTGCAGTACCCATACCAGTGTAGACCACCCCGTTGATCTCTAGTGCCATGTTGATACTGCTGATGCCACTGCCTGCCAGACTGAGAGGCTCATCCAGCCGCTCTTCTGTTCAGGAGGGGGCAGGGAGGTCACATTTTTAGGAATCAGGCTTCAGGCTTAGACACACCCACGCCATTCCTAGAGACAGCCCCCTCCCACTTCAGCCCCATCTGGTTGTCTGTGGAAGGATTTGTCTGCCCACCTCCTTGCCACCTATGAGGTAATGGGTCTGTTCTCCCTCAGTTCACACGTGGGAAACCCCCTCTCCAATAAACCCTTCTCACCCCTCAGGGGAACCTTGTCACGGGGTAGGAAACTGGGGGCTGCACAAGGACGAGGGGGGTCCAGGGGGCCCATGAGCACAGCCCTCTTCTCTGGAGGCTCCTCTGGCACCATCTTCTTCCGTACAGGTCCCAGGGTGAGGCCCACAGGTAGTGACAGACGAGGGGCAGGAATTCTGCTCTCCTCTGGAAGAAGATGGTAATTCAGCTCCTCTGCCTCCTTAAGCCAACCTGTTGTTGCATTTGTTTCTGCCCAAGCCTGAGAGACTAAAAGATGTTACCCAAGCTCACGCAGCCAGTTCAGTCTCATTTTCCTTTCAGAGCCTCAACCTTAAGGCTCAGAAAGTGCAAAATTCCCAGGGCACAATGCAGATGTCTAGTTTGGTCTAAGGGTTTTCTTGTTCTTGGTTAAGTAATTCATGTCCAAGAGGTACAAACCACATGCAAATAGGAGCTGTCGGTAGCCAGGTGGGGAATGAAGCTGCAGGAGATAAAGGTCCTTTTCCCAAGCTTCAGCCCCATACAGCTGTAACCTGTACCCCAGAGCTCTCGAGGCTTTATTAGTCCCAAACCTCAGAACCCCTATAGGTAGAGATACCAAAACTTTAGCACCCTGTTGATCTTGCAATTTCCGTATCTCAGTGCCCCCCTACATTTTAATGTTCCTGATACTTCCGGCGTGCGCTGACCCTGGGCACCCTTTAAACTTGCACCTCTCTCCTCTCGCACCTTTCTTAATAGGGCTCGGGCTCAGCTGCGCGCACGCGTGAGCCGGCAAGCCTGCAGCGTTGCTCAGGATGAGGCCTGGGCCCAGCGTGGGGGCAGGCACCGGCGCGGGCGAGGCGGGGCCAGGACCCGAAGCGGGGCCTACAGCTGCCCGAGGGGGCGGGCCTGCCAAGCCGAAGAGCGGGGCGCTGGGGTAGGCCTGGCGACGGCCCTCGCGCCGATTGCTGTCTATGGCTGCCTGGAGCTCGCCCGGGGAGCTGAGCGCCCGCGTCTCGCACTCGTACGGGTACAGGTATTTCATGTACCTGTCGGGGCGGATGAAGTGGCAGTGGAAGGCAGGGCCCCGCCAATCAAGCCCCACAGCCCCGCCGCCCCGCCGCCCCGCCGCCCCGCGTCCACCCTTGCGCCCCTCCACCCCGCCTCACTGGGTGCGTAGAGTGAAGGCTGCCGAAGTGATGGTGGTGGGCAAACTGAGGCCGCGTGTGACTTCCCGCCACACCTTTCGGTTGATGACTTCCACCAGACCGCCCTTGGCTGTCACGAGGCGAAACAGCGCATAGAGATCCAGTACTTGCTTTGCCATAATGGGCACGCGGTTCACTGGTGTCCCTGATGGGCAGGAGGCAGACAGTCAGGACGCTAAGGCCCTGAGGGCGGGGAAGAAAGGGGCTGGATGCTTGCATGAAGCTTGGGTCCTAGCAGGACCCCAGAGAGGAAGGGAAGGAGGAACGGATGGAGAGGTACATTGCAAGCAGTGATCCACAGAACCTTCAGGATCATCATAGCAGGAAGGACGGGGGTTCACCCAGCGACCACTAGACTTATTTTGTAAAGGTGGTACTTACTGTGTAAGCTGTGCAAACCAGTATCTGTCATAACCACCCTGTTCTGTAACTGCAGCCTGAAAGCAGCCCAAGAGGATACTTGAGGGAAGGAATGAGCCTGGGTGTATTCCAATAAAACTTTATTTGGTACCGGAAATCAAACTCAGGGCATTGGACTTCCCAGCAGGAACTGTGTCAATGAGCTACATCCCCCGCCCCTCCAATAAGACTTTATTTACAGGCTCTGAAAATCGAATTTTTTGCTTCATTTTGAGTTTGTTTTTTGAGACAGGGTCTCCCTACTTAGCCCAGGCTGACCTCACGCACACTGTGATCCTCCTGCCTCAGTCTCCCAAGTGTTGGGAGGCATGCACAGGCATGCACCGTCATGCTTGGCTGAAGTTCGAATTTCACATATCCAAAAGTTATCCGTTTTGCAATTTTATTTTCCAAGTATGTAAAAACCATTTTTCAAATGGGCATAGTGGGTGCACACCTGTATCCCCAGCTACTGGAAAGGCTGAGGCAGGATGGACACCTTGTCTTAAAATAAAATGAAAAGGGCTAAGGGTGTAGCTCAGTAGAAGAGTGTTTGCCTAGTGTGTGCAAGGCCCTGGTTCCATACACAGTTCACCAAACAAACAAAAACACTTTTCCCTATTTTTTTTTCTCACTTTTCCGTATTTTGAAGGAGGGTGGATTTGATCAGTAAGCTTTGCTTTGTTGAACTGTGGGGTAGTCTACAGGATGAACTTCTAGATATTGCCAAAAGGCTGCCTTCCCTAAGCAGGAGGCCTCAATGGCTGTTTGCGGTTTGAGGATGCCAGGCGACAAGAATCAACTCCTGGCTGGGCCCCCGCCAACTCTGCAGCCTGCACCATCCCCGCCAGCCAGTCCTGACAAAGGGGCCTGTCTCTGCTGAGCGATGGGCCCCAGTTAATTCCTTACCGATCCTGTCCCCTTCCACGGCTGCCTTTGGACCCGAACAATTAGCTGCGGCCTGATTAATGGGGGGAAATTATCGGTCCCGTGGGATGGCCCCTCCCCCTGCAGCTGAGCAGAGGGAGGCAGGGACTGAGGGAGGCAGAGCCAGAGGTGTGGGCAGAGCTGGAGTCAGCTCAGACCACCCCAACATTCTCAATGGAGCAGAAACACCAAAGAAGGGGCAGAGAGAAAGACTGGGACTAGAATGCCTAAGCTTCCCTGGGAAGCACGAGGAGCAGGGACCCCACCAACAGTCCCTGGAAAGGAAGGGACCAGAAAGGGATGATGGGTCTGGTGTGGTGGTCCAGGGAGACTTGGACCAGCAGCTGTACTAAGGGAGGGGGGGACAGTGCAGCCAGTTAATTAGCAGCTTATCAGGCTTCGCTCT